TTGTGGGTGCTGTGGGAGCCACCCGCCCAGTTTGGGGGTCCCAGCCCCCAGTGTTCCTATTACCACAGGGACCACTTGTCCCTTCACCTTCCACATCTTTTCTAGCTCTTCTTTCAGCCCTTGGTATTTCTCAAGCTTCTCGTGTTCCTTCTTCCTGATGTTGCTATCGCTTGGGATTGCTACATCTGTCACTATGGGCTTCTTCTTCTGTTTGTTCACCACTACTATGTCCGGTTGGTTGGCCATTACCAGTTTGTCAGTTTGTATCTGGAAGTCTCACATGATCTTAGCTTGGTCATTCTCAGCCACCTTTGAAGGTGTATCCCATCTTGACTTCTGGACTTATTTAATATATATATGTGTGTGTGTGTGTGTGTGTGTGTGTGTGCACACTGTGGCAGAAGAGACAGAGTGTTGTCATTCTGTTACACAGTCAGAGTGGTGGTCCGGGGGAAGAAACTGTCCTTGTGCCTGGTTGTTTTGACGTGCAGTGACCTGTAGCAATGTCCAGAGGGGAGTTCAAACAGTTTGTGTCCAGGGTGTGAGGGGTCTGCAGAAATCTTCTCTGCCCTCGTTTTAACTTGTAAGGTGTTCAGGTCCTCCATGAAGGACAGGAGGACAGGCTGGCACTGATGATTCTTTCTGCAATCCTGACTGTCCGCTGGGCACTATTCCTAAAGTCCACTGTCATCTCCATTGTTTTGAGCATGCTCAGCTCCAGGTTATTGTGACAGCACCACAGGACCAGCTTTTCAACCTCCTGTCTATAAGTCAACTCCTCACCATCTCCGATGAGACAGATGACTGTTGTGTCATCTGCAAACTTCAGGACTTTAACAGAGTGCTATCCTGAGGTGCAGTCATTGGTATAGAGGGAGAACAGCAGCAGGGAGAGCACACAGGGGGGCACCTGTGCTGATAGTCTGAGTGCTGGATGTGATTTTCCCCAGTCTCACCTGCGGCTTCCTTCAGTCTTCTGCTGGTGGTCCACTGCCAGTTGGGGGCAGGCACAGTGAGCTGGGTTAGTTTGGAGTAGAGGATGTTGGCAATGATGGTGTTGAATGCTGAGCTGAAATCCACAGAGGATGTTTGCAAAGGTCCCTGGGATGTTTAGGTTTTGCAGGATGTAATTCAGTGCCATGTTGACTGTGTCATCCACTGACCTGTTTAACCAACAGGCAAACAGCAGGGGGTTCAACTGGTGGTCTCCGATGTCCTTAAGGTGGGCCAACACCAGTCTCTTAAAGGATTTCATGACCACATATGTCAAGGCGACAGGTCTGTAGTCATTAGGGTTGGGTACTGAAATATGGCCCCGGTTCCTATACAGTCGGTATCTACCGGACTGAAACACAGCACATATTTCGGTGCCACTGAAATGCTTGTTGATTGAAATATTTGGTGCTGTGAAACAATAATACAGGCAACAGAAGCATTACTACACTTTAAATGCTGAAGCTGTCACTATGTTGTTATATGCTGCTGCTAAATATATTCTGAATTAACTGAGACCTGATAAACAGTGCAAAGAAATCTGGTATTACATTGTGAAAAAATGAAATGTCTGATTTTATGCTATTTGAGAACTTACATTTAAAAAATGTAAGACTTTTTCACCTAACATGTAGTAAATGATACCCTTAAAGAGCTACATTTCAGGTAAAATGCTTACCTAATGTAAATGAGTACATTAGCATAAAAAGGTTCTATTTGGATACAATGAATACAGCAGAAACAGTGTTGACTTCAGAAAGTGAAGTGGATCAAACCACCATCTGGGTAAATAATCTTTAATATTTATGTACAGTAACAACATAATACAGTTGAGATAGAATTTACTCAGGCACAGGCTTTAAAATAAAAGTAGTGAGCATGTTGAGTGGCAGTGTTAGTACTGTGTAGTGGACATCTTGTCGGCTATTTTTAGGTTTACGGTAGTCTTATTCTTAGTGCTGAGATCTAAAGTTCATGTTAGTATTAGTCATATTTTTTCAAACTCAGTTTTATTTTTAGTCGACTAAAACTCTGGGCATTTAGATTCATCTTAGTCAAAGATAAACAACATTTTAGAAACTTAAGTTAACAGCTTTCAGATAAGATGCCATTCAACTGAAGCTAGGCTAACAGAAAACTTCAAATAAAATGCCACATAATGACAACATGATTAAGAATGTTCAATACAGTGTGTCTGTATTGAAGTTATTATCATATCATTATCATATGCAGTTACAGTTTAATGCATGATACCAGATTTGCTGGTATAGGTGTTCTCATAAACAGAATACAGTCAGGATGGAGGATGAAAAATGAATTTTTAGTGGAGATAGGATATATAGTTAGACTGTTATTGATTTTTGATGTCACTTTTGTCCTGTTGTCATCAAAGGGAAAACGTTCACTGATAAATACATGTATTTCATCACAGTTTTCTTTAACAAAATTAACACTAGCACTGTGGCTGCTCAAGGTACCTGTGTTTTAGGGTGAAGGCACAGCACACCCTCTTGGCTTATGCTGACTATGCAGGGAGAGGGACAGCCACGCTGGCTGACCTTCTTGGCCAAGAAGTTGTTGGAGCCAAAGAAAGGCAGAGTGCTCAGACGTTCTGAAAGACAAAAGATTCAGACAAATATAGTTTTCATCTGTTACAATATAAACAGGAGGGGAGAAAACAGGAGACAAAATAGCAGAGAAGAAAAGAGGATAAAAGAGCAGTAGTACTACTCACCAATGAACTGAGTTTTGGCATCTTGAGGGCTGAGGGACTGCATGGCAACTATCTGACCCAAGCAGAATGAGTGAATCTCCTCAAGTTTCCTGCTTAGCCCATCCTGTGAGGGCAGGTACTGCTTTATCTCTGGCCTTACAAAGACATACAATCACTAAGGGTAAATGTACAGTATACATACATGAATTTTGTTGCCAGATTTTTCTGTTGGTCAACATAGACTTCAAGTAATAATCAAAATAATGCATGTTGATATTAGTAGATCTAATATGTCAACTGATATTAGCTCATTGGCAGTATATCAATATATAATGACAAGAAAAATGTATGTGAACCTTTTGGAATTTCATGGTTTTCTGCATTATTTTGTCATAAAATGTGATCTGATCTTCATCTAAGTCAAGAGTATTGACAAATATAATGTGCCTAAAATAACAACAGAAAACAAATTCTGATCTTTCATGTCTTTATTGAGAACAACCATAAAAACCTCATAGTGCTAGTGGAAAAAGTATGTGAGCCCTTGAGTTAATGGCCTCAAAAAAACTAATTGGAGTCAGGTGTTAGCATACCTGGAGTCTTGTTAAGAAAATGAGTTTAGAGGTGTGGACTGGAGCTACTTTGATAAAAACTACTCAAACCTTTTCAGTTTGCTCCACACAAGAAGAATATGCTTACGTGAGCCATGCCTCGCTTTCAGAGGATCTACAATCAAGAATTGTCGATTTATATAAAGCTGTAAAGGGTTACAAAGTGATTTCAAAGACTTTAGAAATTCACCAGTCTACAGTTAGGCAAACAATCTACAAATAGAGACACTTTGGGACTGTCACTACTCTACCAAGAAGTGGGCGCCCAGCCAAAATGACCCCAAGAGCACAACTAAAACTCATCAATGAGGTAAAGAAACAACCTCAAGTGACAGCCAAATATTTGAAGGCGTCATTGGAACCAGTTAACATCGGTGTTCATGAGTCTACGGAGTCTATGGCAGGACAACACGAAGGAAGCCGCTGCTTACTAAAAAGAACATTGCTGCATGCCTGAAGTTTGCAAAAGAGCACATTGACACTCTACAACGGTATTGGCAAAATGTTTTGTGGACTGATTGAACTAATCTGATTTGATTTGATTTATTCTTTCAAGCATATAAAACAGTTGATATGACAACACACATGATTGTACACATAATCCAATATCAATTTGCTTATACCTAGTACATGCTTGAATGGAGTAGGAAGAAGTCAGACTTATCCAGTCCTACCCCATGACATCATCTTACCATCATTGGTTTGCAAGCAGTA